CAGCTACACGTTGGTTTTACGGACGAACAGAGAAAGCCAGAAAGCAGCTCCCATCTATAATAATTACAACAGCTCTGAGTTCCCCTTGTCCTTGCACTATTTATGACATTCTCTCTTGCCACAGCTTGCTCGAGATACAAGAGACTATTAAACCTGGGAATATTTCTTTCTAGTCAGGTGGAGAGCACTTGCTACATGCCTCCCTCTTTCCCCCCAACCCTTGGCACTTCTATAAAGAAAGGAAGCCAGTTGGTTTACACTGCAGACTGAATGAAGCATTAAATGACTGCATTAGAATGACTGCAGCGGGGGGAATAGTCGCCTCCAGTGGCAAGGCAATGCTGTAATAATACTTCCAGAAAGGTGCAATAATTGTTCAAGTAGCCTTGTCTAATTTGTCACAAAAGTTGTCCACCGCTCCTCTCTTTCACGTGCACACAGCACACACTTGCACGTGCACGCACACACACACGCTGGCAAAGCTGGAGGGGAAAAGAAAAAATGTGCATTTGAGGAATAAGGAAAATAATACTAATAATGATGAGGGCGATCATCATAAAAGCAATACTAATGACAGTGATTATAATAATGAATTATAATAACAGTAATAGCCGCGTCCCAATCTAGGCTGCATCAGCATCAGCCTGCCATATCCTTCTCCAGGGCCCCTGCCAGTCATTTTGAACATGGATCTTGTTGAGCTGATGCCATGTCGCCGGAGCAAGCGGCCACATCAGAGCCCCCGGCCCCTGGCTGGGAGGGAGGGAGCCGTGTCAGCTCCCCCCTGCCACATCCTTCTCCAGGGCCCCTGCCAGTCATTTTGAACATGGATCTTGTTGAGCTGATGCCATGTCGCCGGAGCAAGCGGCCACATCAGAGCCCCCGGCCCCTGGCTGGGAGGGAGGGAGCCGTGTCAGAAAAGCTCGGCTCGAGCCGCTTCCCCTCTGCCCGGCTCCGGGGGGAGGACGGGGGCAGTGACATCCTTGCGGGGGCGGCTCAGGGCGATCCCGGCTGGCAGGTTCAGCACCGAGGTCGCTTTCGCCGGGTGGGCGTGAGTGTGGGAGGTAAGTCGGGGCGGGGGCAGCCCTGGCAGACAAGGCTCCTTTTCATGGCCTCTCGCTGGCGCAGGCTGGCGAGAGAGAGCCGCGGGGAGACAGCAGCGGCCCTCGCACCCCCGGGGCGGGGGAGGGGGGCTGGCCC